TGGGGGCCACATTCCATGGTGCTCAGGGCTTCCTGCTGGTTCTGTGCTCACAGATGGCTCCTGGGGTGGCTTTGGGGACCATATAGGGTGCTGGGGACTGAACCCCAGGAGGCCTCATGCAAGGCAAGAGCCCTGCCTGCTGTACTATCGCTCCAGCTGCTGGAAGTTTTTGTTTTGCTCATCAAGCCTGTGTGCTCCCTTGCTTGCTTGTCCATTTCTTAGCTCCTGTGTTCTCTTGGGGACACATTTCCCCTTTCTTCTCTCCTCTCACATCTAAGTTTCAATAAAAAAAAATCTTGCTTCACACAAAAAAACTTAAAGCAACATGATTTAGAAAGTTACTCATGGGTGCTGGAGCAATAGTGCAGAGGGCAGGGTGCTTGCCTTGCATGAAGCCCATCTGGGTTTGATCTTGGGACCCTTACAGTCCCCTGAATCCGGCCAGAAAATGCTGAGCATGGCCAGGTGTGGCCCCCAAACAAAACACACACAAAAGTTTATTCTCAATTGAGTTTTAGACAGTCTTCTGGACCCAAGCACACTACCAGTGTCCATTTCCCATCAGTTCCCTCCCACCCCACCCCACACTGTCCCCTACACAAAGCACTTTTTTTTTTTTTTGCTTTTTGAGTCACACCCTGCGAGGCTCAGGGGTTACTCCTGGCTCATGCACTCAGGAATTACTCCTGGCGGTGCTCGGGGGACCATATGGGATGCTGGGAATCGAACCAGGGTCGGCCATGTTGGCTGCGTGCAAGGCAAGCGCCCTACCCGCTGTGCTATCGCTCTAGCCCCCACAAAGCACTTTTTATTTATTTTTTCTTTTTGGGTCACACCTGGCGATGCACAGGGGTTACTCCTGGCTCTGCACTCAGAAATCACTCCTGGCGGGGCTCACGGGACCATATGGGATGCTGGGAACCGAACCTGGGTCAGCTGCATGCAAGGCAAAAGCCCTACCCGCTGTGCTAGCTCTCCAGCCCCACAAAGCACTTTTTAAACTTAATTTTATTTTTGCTTTTTGGGTCACCCCTGGCGATGCTGAGGGGTTACTCCTGGCTCTGCACTCAGGAATTACTCCTGGCGGTGCTCTGGGGACCAAATGGGATGCTGGGAATCGAACCCAGGTCGGCCACGTGCAAGGCAAACGCCCTACCCGCTGTGCTATCACTCCAGCAAGAACTTTTAACAAGTTCAAAGTTCAATGCCTGATTTTATTCCTTAGAGTAGCCCAAGGGTTCTTTTTTTCTTTGCTTTTTGGGTTACATCTGGTGATGCACAGGGGTTACTACTGGCTCATGCACTCAGGAATCACTCCTGGCGGTGCTCAGGGAACCATATGGGATGCTGGGAATCAAACCTGTCTGGGTTTTTGCTAGATCCAATGGTGCTTAAGGACTATCCCAGCAGGGCTGATGCACAGGTAGGGCATTTGCTTTGCATGCGACCGACCTGGGTTCGATTCCCAGCATCCCATATGGTCCCCCAAGCACCGTTAGGAGTAATTCCTGAGTGCAGAGCTAGGAGTAACCCCAGTGCATCGCCGGGTGTAACCCAAAAAGAAAAAAAGAAAAGGACTATCTCAGCTTAATACCGGGTAAGTCTGGTGGTGCTCAGGTGGAGTCTATGTAGTACTAGGGATCAAATCCAGGTTTCCTGTATGTATACATGTCGTATAAATTCAGACAGAATACAAATTCTCAAACAGAAAGTCAAAGTCTAGTGGGTAAGGTGCTTGCCTTGACCATGGCTAACCTGTTCAAATCCGCCACACCCTATAGTCCTGTGAATCTGCTTGGAGTGATCTTTGAGTTACAGAGCCAGTAGGAAGGAGTAAGCTTGGATTCAGCCAGGTGGGTCCACCCCCAATCCCCTCCCTGCCCCAGGACACGAGAATGGGGTTCCCCAAAAGTCCTGAAATTTTTTTTTTTGCTTTTTGGGTCACACCCGGAAATGCACAGGGGTTACTCCTGGCTCTGCGCTCAGGAATTACTCCTGGCGGTGCTCAGGGGACCATATGGGATGCTGGGAATCGAACCCGGGTTGGCCGCGTGCAAGGCAAACGCCCTACCCGCTGTGCTATTGCTCCAGCCCCCAAAAGTCCAGAAATTTTGAGGACTTTTTTTTTTAATGTAGGAGTACTGCTATTTATTCAGTCACTGATTAAGCTGATTGAATTGGGAATGAATTCATCAATACTTTTTAAAAAAAAATTTTAATTGAGTATCCATGAGATAGACCATTACAAAACTGTTCATAATTGGGTTTCAGTCATACAATTATCCAGTACCCATACCTCCACCAGTGTACATTTCCCACCACCAATGTCCCAACCTCCCCCCGCCCCCAGCCTCCCTCTATGGGAGGCACTTTCCTTCTTGCTCTCTCTCTCTCTCTCTCTCTCTCCTTTTCCTTTCATGCATTATGGTTTGCAATACAGGTGCTAAGAGGTCATGGTGTTTATTCAGGGAATTCAGTATTTTTATTGAGATGGTAAGGCTGGAGTAGCTTTAAGTTGAGAACTTTTTTTGTTGTTGTTTTTTGGGGACATACCCGGCGATGCACAGGGTTTACTCCTGGCTCATGCACTTAGGAATTACTCCTGGTGGTGCTCAGAGGGCCTTATGGGATACTGCGAATCAAACCCGGGTCGGCCTTGTGCAAGGCAAACGCCCTCCCACTGTGCTATCGCTCCAGCGCCTCTGAGAACTTTTAACTCTGCCCTGTTTTCAGGAATAATATTGAAGGACATTAATCTGCATCAGATACAAGAGGATAATATACAACTGATACAAAATGATGTTTCCACCTAACACCTGGTTTCTGATCTCAGGGCAAGAGAGAGGTAGGATGGGGGAACCCTTCAGGACATTCCTGTTACCGTAAGACGATTCTTACCATTGCATTACAGGTAAACGAAGTTTCGAACAGGTGAGTCAAAGCACACCTTGATTGTCATGTTACTATTTTAGTTTTTTTGGCCACACCAGCAATGCTCAGGGGTAACTCCTGGCTCTGTACTTCAGGAACTACGCCTGGGGTGCTGGGGTTGAACCTGAACTGGTTCACATGCAAGCCAAGTACCCTACCTGCTATACTGTTGCTCTGGTCCCTACCATGGTCTTTTGTTTGGGGGGGGGGTCACACCTGGCAATGCACAGGGGTTACTTCTGGCTCTGCACTCAGGAATTACTCTTGGCAGTGCTCAGGGGACCAAATGGGATGCTGGGAATCGAACCCGGGTTGGCCGCTTGCAAGGCAAATGCCCTACCGCTGTGCTATCGCTCCAGCCCCTATCATGGTCTTTAGAGCTATGTAAATGGGCCAATTACAGACTTTAGTCCGGGTTTAGGAGTAGTGACATTACAGCTAAGTTCAAGGCACGGTCCCTGCTGAAATCAACTTACAGGTTTGTGCTGCAACAGTATATTTTATTATTATTATTATTTTGCCGTGTGAGGTAGTGCTGAGGGCTAACTCCTAGCTCTCCACTTGGTGATCACTCCAAGTGGGATCATGGGACCTCCTGGGGTGCTGGAGATCAAACCAGGTTAGCTGCACGCAGAGCAAGCACGAGGACTGGCCCAGTGGCCAAACCCTCTGGGGCGAGTTGTGCACCCAGAGTAACTCCTATCTTTGGCACATGCTGTGGCCACGACAGTACCAACTGGTCACCTTTCAGACAGACCGGCTGAAGCTCCGAGAGCTGGGGACTGCAGGGGCCTGTGACCAGCGAAAGGGGGACGGCACCTACGGGAAGCTGAGCGGCATGGTTAAGGTGTCTTGTACATGGTGCTACCCCCCCACCCCCACGCCCCGCTCGCTTTTCAGCATCCCCGCTGCAGTGAGAGCCACCAGCCACGGTGGGGACCTGGTGTTGGATCTCTTCAACAAGCTGGTCACGAGGTGCACAGGTTGGAGGGAGGCAGCTGGAGGTGTGTGGGGCCCACCCTGCCCCTTGCTTCCTGTTTTTAAGTCTCAAGGGGCTGGGGGAACTGATTCCCCAGACCAGCCACCCTCACCCCTCCATCTTTTCTCTCCCAGGTATTTCCAGGAAGAGGCCAGCGAGGGGCCAGGAGCTTTGGGTCAAACGCCAGACCCCATTCCACCTCTGCCACCCCCAGAGCAACCCGGAAGAGAAAAGGCTGGCGAGGGTGACTGGGAATCCCAGGGGCTCAGACCCTCCTGGGGCCCCCCAAATCCAGATTCAGGCTACTGCCTTTACACCTCACAAAGAAACCCCAGCAGAAACAGTTCCAGCCTCCCGGCCTCTGCTGTCCTGGGAGGGGCGTGCAGCCCTGCCTGTGTACTGCCCGAAGATACAACACTGATCAATACTGCAAGGACTGAGAAACCCTGGGGGCAAGGCGAGGAGGGGAGAGGGGTCAGCAGGGACAGCTGCTGCTGATGGGGAGGAGGGGTGGGGAAGAGTTTTCACACAGAAAAACTGTCTAGGTGACAGACACGGGGTTTGTAAAAATGGTCCCATAGCATGCTTAACGGCCCTTGGCGTAACCACTGGTGCCCAGGGGGGTGTCTGGAGGCTACTTGGGTGTCTGGGGGAGGCGGGAGTCAGCAGGAGAGGAACCCAGGGAGAGCTGCCGATGGGCCCTGGGTGGCTGCCAGAGGGAGACGAGGCCTCGCCACAGCTCCCAGGGCTTGAGCAGCTTGAGGGGAAAAGTCCCCATACAGGACACAGTGGCTGGACGTGGGGAACGTCCCTGGTTTCCAGGAGAGGGTGCAAAGTCTCGAGAAACTGGTTTTAGTGAGAAGGGGAGAGGCAGGTCGGGTGAGGAGGTGAGTGCAGATAAGGCGCTGGGCACTGCCACGAGGGCAGGGGACCCCATTCCCTGGGAAAATGCTGGGGACACTGTAGTCTTGCGAGCTTTTTCGTCTCAGCTGGGGTCCCGGCTGCCCCCAATTCCAGAAGCGGACCAGGCTGGAGACCGGAGACTTTCCTGGGGCTTCACCTCGTAGAAGAGCCCCAAGACAAACAGCAGTCAGGCGGTGGTGCGCCGCGGGGCGGGGGGACCGGCCTTGTCACGGTGGAACTGGGGAGACAAGAGGACTGTGAGGCCCCAGCGCTTGGGAGCGGAGGCTCGCGCGGGAGGCAGAGGCCGCACTGACCTTCCGCAGGCTGGCCAGGGCACGGCCAAAGCTGGCCATGACCTCCACGCGCTCCCGGATCCAGGCGGGCAGCTTGGCCAGCACCGCCGGGCGGCTGTAGCGCTGGTCCAGGAGCACGATGCTGGCGAAATCCTTCTGGTGCCGGATGGCTCTGCCTACGCGGGGTCGAGCAGACGGGGCGGAGTGAAACGGGCCTCGCACCCCGTTTTTAGTGCTACCAGAGGCGGTGGGGAAGCACTCCCACCCATCCCCCGACATGACTCCCGCGCCCGCTCCCCAGCCGGGCTTACCTATAGACTGGTTGACAGCCTTCATGCAGAGACTCTCCACCAAAGCCTTCCCAGGAGGGGGCTTCCCGGGGGCTCTGGGCTGAAAGGCAAAGGAGACAGGCCTCAGCTGCCGCTTCCCTCCCGCCTCTGTTCTGACAACGGGACACTGCTGGGCTCTACGGGCACCATGCTGGGACCGTGGGAGAAAGGCAGACTGTCACGGGGACCTTCCCCGCCCACACTCAGGAACCTCTCGAGTGCTCACAAGCGCCTGATCCAGGTAAGCCATCTTCTCTTGCAACTCAGGAGACTTGATGTTGGGGTAGGGCATGCCCACCATGACCACACACCTAGAGGAAGCACATGGGCACCAGCAGCAGGTGGGCAGCTGGGCCTTCCTGCAGCCCCTTCTCCCCGCTCCCTCTCCCCAGAGAAGGTCTGTCCCCTGAGACCACTGTGGGCAACAGTCCTGACCGACCGGGCATGGTCTGTGCAGTTCCCAGCCCATCTCAGGCCCCAACACAGAGTCGTCCATGCCCTTGCCCCCACGGTGGCGAGCCCGGGCAGCAGCGGGCATTCAGGTGGCTGCCTGCCACTTACCGGCCCAGGTCATCAGAGAAGTTGATGCCTTCGCTCATCTTGCCCCCGACCACGGCGAGCAGCAGTGCCCCGGTCACCTGGCCGCCTTCCTGTCTGCAGCTCTGCGAGAGACTGCCTGCTGTGAGGTTTGTGGGGACAGGGTGGACCCCGCCGGCTCTGAGGCCCACCAGCTCACCTGGATGCACTGGGAGTACTCTGCCAGCACACGCTCCACCTGGCTCGCACTCTTGGGCTCCTGAAATACCTGAAGACAAACCCAGTGTGGGCACTCGGGTGGGCTCCAGGCAGCCTGAGCCCTCCCCCCCCCCCCCCCCCCCCGGTCCTCAAGCCAGGGGCTCTGGGGAAACCCTGAGCAGTGGACAGGGATTAGAAATTGATGGTGGTGAGGGGTGCAGGGCAGGGTGCAGCCAGGGGGCTGGGAGAAGCCCCCACACACGAGGCCCAACACGCTGATCTGTTTTGCACCGGGAGCTGCCGGGTGCTGTGTGCACAGGTGTGTGATGTGGTTCCGTGGCCGCTTACCTTCTTCCTGGCAGCCAGGCGATCCAACAGCCCGTTCTCCTGCCAGTGGGCGTGGACCTGGCGCTGGTACTCATAGGAGGGGAAGAAACAGACCAGCCCTCCGGGGACCACGGTGCACAGATTGCAGAGAATGCGGCCTGTCTCGAGCATCTGAGGGAAACGAGGGGCGCCATGAGACTCCCTCACCTGCCCACAGGTGATGGACTCAGGGAGGCAGATGGAGGCCGGGCGGTGACTACGGGGCGAAACTACCACTGAAATGCGCTGCAGAGTTCACCCAGTGATGCAGATGCTCCACCGGCTGGAAGCGTCTGTGACAGACGCCAGAGCCTACAGCCCCCTGGTATGCCACCCACTTTTCTGATGCAGTGTCCAGGTGGACTGAAAGCAGCTGTAACCAACTGGGCACTGAAAACCCAGGCAAGACCAACACTGTTCAGAGCTGGGCTGCCATGACCCAATGGCAGGAGACTGAATCTGTGTGTGTGTATGTGTGTGTGTGTGGGGGGGGGGGGGATAGGCAGAATTTAAGGGGACAGGGATTAAAGTGCTTTATTTGCATGCATTTAACCAGGGATCAACCCTGGTTAGATCCCTGGCACTGCATATGGTCCCCTGAGTACCATACAGAGTGATCCCTGAGTGCAGAGCCAGGAATAGCTCCTGAGCACTGCTGGAGCCCCCCAAAAAGGAATGTGAGGAGGTGGAAACACAGTTTGTCCTGAGAAACATGCACAGACCATTCCCCTGACCCCCCAACCCCTCCCTGCAGGAAGGCAAGCCAGATGCTCCTAACCATCTGAGGCAGCTCTCTCCTCTGGTATGTGAACTCTAGCTGCTGGCTGGTGGGTCCAGTGCAGAGGATGAGGGGCAGGATGTTGTCCGGAGGGATCACGTGACCTGGTTTGAGACCCAGTAGGAGGCTGAAACTGGAGGAGCAGGCTGTTCCCAAAGGCAGAGCCAAAAAAGAACACTCCCAACCCTCGTCTCCAAAATAGAGAGAACAGGGGCCAGAACGATAGCACAGCAGATAGGGTGTTTGCCTTGCACACGGACAACCTGGGTTCGATCCCTGGCATCCCATATGGTCCCTCGAGCACCGCCAGGAGTCATTCCTGAGTGCAGAGCCAGGAGTAACCCCTGAGCACTGCTGAGTATGACCCAAAAGCAAAAACAAAACAAAATAGAGAGAACACCCCTTCCAGACCAGGACTACCAGAGTAATTCTCACCCACCCCTACCATTTCCACCCCGTCCCTGCTGTAACGCTTGGACAGGAGAGCAGAGTGCTCAGCCCACAAAGGCTCAGTCTCACACACCGGGCCAGGGGCCTGTGGGGGGGCATGAGGTTCAACTGTACCAAGGGGCCATGACGGGCACCCCTGGAGGCTCACCACAGGAGAACTCCACCACGCGCTCTGGTCCCACCCCTGCACACGCCAGCAGCTGCTCCCGGAAGTCAGACACCTGGAAACCAAAAGGTCGAGCATCACCGGGCCTTGTCTCCCGCAGATGCCTGGCAAGGGCAACCTTCTCCCACAGGGCCAGGAACCTGAGGTCCGAGCTGGTGGGGGAGGGGGGCCGTGGCAAGGGGGAACCAGGGAACAGCTGAGCGGGACAGAGGTCTGGGCTGGGAGGCAGCAAGTGCATGAGGAAAGAGAGGTTCGAGGAAAGGCTGAGGGTTTTAAACAACAAGTTTTGTTTTTGTTTTGTTGTGGGACCAAACCCAGAGTCTGGGATGACTCCGGGCTCTGCACTCAGTAATTACACCTGGCAGTGCTTGGGGGACCATACGGGATGCTAGGGATTGAACCTGGGTTGGCTGTATGCAGGGCAAGCACTGTACTACTGCTATACCTGCTGTACTATTGCTCTGGCCCCAGGATAACAAGGTTTCAAATAAAAAACTGAGTGCTAGGACCAGAGACTCTGTGGTGGATAAGGAACTTGCCTTGCATGCAGGCGGCCTGGGTTCAATCCCTGGCCTGGACAAGGAGTGATCCTTGAGCACTGCTGGGTGTGTCTCAAAAAACAAACAACAAGAAGAACCCCCCCCCAAACCCTCCAACACACCCAATTAAGATTTACCTTTTTTTTTTTAATTGTTTAAATTTTTGCTTTTTGGGTCACACCCACAATGCACAGGGGTTATTCCTGGCTCTGCACTCAGAAATTACTCCTGGCAGTGCTCAGGGGACCATATGGGATGCTGGGAACCAAACTCAGGTTGGCCACGTGCAAGGCAAACGTCCTACCCGCTGTGCTATCGCTCCAGCCCCAAGATTTACCTTTATTTTTAACTTTTGACTACCCCCCGCCCCCCCCCCATCTCCTTTACTCTTTAATTTAACCCCGTGTCACATTCCAATGCTGAGGACTGCTCTGTTGGAGGTGTCTGGGGCAAGAAGGTATGTGGCCACCAGCTGGGGGAGCAGCCCCTCTGGCAGGGTGTGACCCCCACCCCATCGGAAACCCTCCAGGCAACTTTTGTATAAGTGAAAAAGGAAGAAGAGGGAAGTTCAGACATTTGCTTCTTTTTTGTCAACAAATATAAAGAAATATCCGGAGGGCAGATTAGTGAGAGAAAGATCAGCTCCCATTGGGCGCAGGAGGAAGAGGGGCCTGAGTCAAACCTTTCTGACTCTATCTCAGGTCACTTTTAAAAAATTTATAAGTCTATAACTGTACCTCATGGTGTTTCACTAATTAAAAAAAAATGAAAAAAAAATATTAGTGAAAAAGCAAGAAAACTCTAACATGCAAATAAACGGAAACAAAGAAGTCTCTCAGCCATCTTGGAGATTTACAATCCTGGCCCAGGAGAAGCCTGACGTGAGTGAGTCTACACCTTTGTGCCACACTCCTGACTGGGATAAACTCTCAGAGCAAACACTGGAAGCTTCCATCACTAATTCTTTTTTTTAATTAAATGTTTGGACTTCACCAGGCTGCGTTCAGAGCTTAGTCCTGGCTCTGTGCCCAGGAATTACTCCTGTGACAGAGGGACCTTATGGGGTGTCAGGGATCAAATCTGGTTCGACTATGTTCAAGGCAAATGCCTCAAGCACTGTACTACCTCTTCGGCCCCTCCATCAGGAGATTTATCATCAGAAATGATGTGACGTATTTTGTGACTGAGCAATTCATGCAATAAAATGAGACAAACTCCCCAAAGTTTGCGAGGTCATATAAACGAACCAACTCTTGGTGCAATGTGCACTCCTGAATTCTGAAGACATGATCTAGGTCTGCTACAAGTGGTCTAGAAATGGCATCACCTGGCACCAGGTGTGAGTCCTAAATATCAGCCTTGCCCCCCACACCGCAAAACAAAAACAAAAACACACAGTATACGAGGGCCTCTTGGACAAATGACTTATTTCGTATCTGGAGCTGACACTGTCTCAGGTGAGCCAGGGGTATATCGCTATGCATCCCAGATCAGTGTAGCATGTTAAAAAAACAGAGAAACATGAGGGGTCCCATCAGGTAAACATGTCTTGATATGAACCTGAAAAATAAGCCAGGGCCAGGAAGATAGCCCAGTGGTCAGTGCTGCACCTCCTGTCAAGGGCAAGGTGGCATTCAGGGCACACCATGCCTGAGCCCCATCCCCTGTGCCACTGGTCCAGCCCCAGGAGCCCCAGCAGTGCCACGTGGCAGGGCCTGAGCACCCAACTGTTTGGTGTAGTTGGCTGACCATGATTCATATATATATATATATGTATATATATATCGCATATAGTATGTAATGTTATATACAATTGTATATATATAAAATTTTAATGGGTTAATAAAATTTACAAGTCCACACACAACAATGGGAAATGGAAAGGCAAGAAAAGCTGCAGGAGCACTCTTTACAATAGCCAGAATCTGGAAGAAACCTGAGTGCCTGAGAACAGATGACTGGTTAAAGAAACTTTGGTACATCTACACAAAGGAGTACTATGTAGCTGTTAGAAAACATGAAGTCGTGAAATTTACATACAAGTGGTACTACATGGAAAGTATCATGCTAAGCGAAATGAGTCAGAAAGAGAGGGATAGACATAGAAAGATTGCATTCATCTGGGGAACATAAAGTAACAAAATAGGAGACCAACACCCAAGAATGGCCGAGATTAGTACCAGGAATTCTGCTCCATGGCTTGGAGGCCAACCACACATGCTAGGGGGAAAGGGAGCTCAGATAGAGAAGGGAGCACCAAATAAAGGGTGTTGGGAGGATCCTCCCAGGATGGGAGATGCATGCTGAAAGTAGACTATGGACTGAACATGATTGCCACTCAGTGCCTCTTTTGCAGACCACAACACCCAAAAGGAGAGAGAGAACAAAAGGGAATGCCCTGCCACAGAGGCGGGGTGGGATGGGGGAGATGGGGAGTGGGAGGGATACTGGGACCTGTGGTGGTGGAAAATGGGCACTGGTGGAAGGATGGGTATTTGATCATTTTATAACTAAAATCTAAGCACAAAAATTTGTAAGTCTACAACTGGACCTCATGGTGTTTCACTAATAAAAAATTAAAAAAAAAAAAAGAAAGCTGCAGGTTGAGCCGGAGCAATACTACAGCGGGCAGGGCATTTGCCTTGCATGCAGCCGACCCGGGTTTAATCCCTGGCATCCCATATGGTCCCCGAAGCACTGCCAGGAGTGGCAACACCCACCCTGTGCAGCACTCTCTCCAGCCCAACATACTAATATTTAAAACAGACAAAAACCCCTGGAAGTCTCCTAAATATTCAAAAAAGAGAGGCTCTAGAATACAACATAAGCAGGTAACAACACAGCCAAGAAACAGGTATCTGGTAACAAGGAAAACTGCTTATGGCTTCTTGTGGCCGAGTGAAAAAAAAGTGAGTTATAAGACACAAAGAGACACTCTCTGCTTTGCTACTCAAGTACGTAAAATTTTTTACAAAAATCGTATTTATAAAAATCATTGCTGAAAGACAAGAGCATATGAAAAAAGAAATCTTTTTCTGGTAGAAGTGTAACCTATTTTTTAATGCTTTTTGTTTGTCTCTGCTTTCTACGATATTTTCCTAAATCTGTACATACTAAAATTGAAAGAAGGCCGAAAAGGGGGCCAGGGAGACAGTCCAGCAGGTAGAGCATTGCATTGCATGTGGCCGACCTGGGTTCAACCCCCGATATCCCATATGGGTCCCGAATCTACCCGGAATGATTCCTGAGCGCACAGCCAGGAGGAACCAAGTGTGACTCCCCGCTCCTCAAAAACAAGAGTGCTGAAGAGAAAGCACATGTGGCCAACCTCAACTAGATCCCCAGCACCACGACTGGCTGGAACACCATGGGGTGGCCTGGGTAACCCCAGACGCCACAGGGCCTGAGCTTCCTGGGGTTTCTGCAAGAATCACTGGGAGTGGCCCTAAGTCCCCTGAGCACTGAGTGGGAGGTCCCTGCAAAAAGGAAAACGAATGGATAAAAGAAAGTTCTCTCTAGGGGAGTACAGGGGGATGGGCGCCGAGACCCCCACCTGGAGCCTGACCTCCGGAAGGGCTTCTCAGCAGCGTGTTCCAGGGACAGTGAGTGGCTGCCGGGTGGCTGGGCTCACTGCAGCACAGAGGACGAGGTGCCCCCTGGCGGCCTGTGCAGTCTGCTCACGCCCACCCACAGGGTGGCCAAGAGCCCTCAGCCCATCCCATGTCAACCACCAGAAACTCCAGAGGCTGCATCTGGGGCCTTACCGGTTGCATGGTGCCCCCTGCGATGACCACGGCCCGGCATTCCTTCACCACCTGGGCAAAGTGTATGGCTGGGTTCAGGAGCAAGAATTTGAGGGTGCTCTGACCAAGGCTGCCTGAGAGAGACAGAAAGGGGGTGCTACGTGGGGAGTAAACTGACCCTTCTCCTTGAAGCTTTCTTTTTTGGGGGGTCACTCCTGGCTCTGCACTCAGGAATTACCCCTGGCGGTGCTCAGGGGACCCTATGGGATGCTGGGAATCGAACCCAGGTCGGCCACGTGCAAGGCCAATGCCCTCCCCGCCATGTGATTGCTCCAGCCCCTGACCCTTCTCTTGATGTGAAGCTGGGGCTGCCCAGTGGCACCTGAGCGGGAGGACAGTCACCTAAATGAGAATCCCTCTCCTCTCGGAATGACACTCTGAGGCAGTGTGCTCTCACTCCTCTAGACCCATGAAGGAGCTGGGTCCGAGAGAGACATGAGTCCAAGGAACGGCTCCTAGGTGCTGGAGTCAGCGCTCAAGCCCTACCCTCCCTCCGGTTCCCTCGCCCAAGACCACCCAACACCCCAGCACCCTGCAGCCCGCCCCCCTCCGCCCCCTCCATCTCGCCCAGTAACACACCAGCCAGCCCAGGCTCTCTCCCGCTCCCTGGGTACCTTGGCGACTGAGGATGATCCTGCCGTCCTGGTTGGCGCTGGTGAGAGCGTCCAGGAAGCCTTCGATGTGCATCAGGGGGGAAGCAGGCCGGGGCGGTGCCGCCTCCTCCTCCGGGCAGGTGGTGGGCGCTGCAGACAGAAGGTAGGCAGAGCACAGCAGCCAGGGTCGGGGCCGCCCCGCCCCGCCTCACCCCGCCTCCCAACGCACCTGCAGTCGTCCCCTGCTGCAGGCTCTGCAGGAAATGCTGAAAGCCTGCAAGCCTGGGTGGCTCCCTGGAAGGGGTGAGGACCGCGCCGAACCTCTCTGTGAAGCCGAAGAGCTGAGACAGGGAAGACAGCAAGGTGGGGGGGAGGGGACAGCCGTGAGTGGGAGAGAGGCTGGGCCAGGCCGTCGGGCACTCCCTCCCCCACACAGCGCAAAGTGTCCCACAGGAGACAGGGAGGGGGACAGAGGGCAGACAGGAAGGCCCGGCTCGCCCCTCCTGGCCCTGCGTGGAGTCAGCACCTTTCTGCTGATCTTGCTCTTCTCACAGTAGCGCCGCACCTGCAAAAGCAAAGCCCGCTGTGGGCACGTGTCGGCGTTCTCACCGGCCTTCTAGAACCCCAGGACGCCACTCACCACTCAGCCCAAGGTGGCCACAGGGTCAACTGCCTTTCTGAGGCCCCGCCTCTGCCCCCATCCCTCGCAGACCCAGTGACCCACGTGGTGTCTGCATGGCTCCGAGCCTTGCAGCTGACAGGCATGTCCACTTTCCTTAAGGGACAACATCTGCTGGGCCTTGAGACGGTTAAAGGGAAAAACCTGGGTGCAAAGGCAGGACGGAGGTGCAGCCGCGCGTGCACGAGACCCAAGTGCAAGTCCCACAGGGTCCCTGAGTACTGCCAGGTGTGACACAAAGACCCCAGCGCCAAAAAGAGGGAAAAAGGAAAAAAAAAATAACAAGGTGAAACTGAAACCCTACCTTAAAGAGGTTGATGTTGTCTACCTGGCTCTGAAAGAGGAAGTCGTTGATGGTCTTCAACTCAGTGCCTGCGGGAGCACAAGAGGGCCTGGGCTGTTGGTTCAGAACATGGGGCTCCCAGTTTCTGGGGCAACTCAGGCAGGATGTGTCCCCCCGCCCCCCAGCCTCGGGCCAAGGGCCAGTGTCCTACCTGGCTGTGCAAGGCTCTGCGTGTTGGGATTCTGGTTAACATTCCCTAAAACCAAGAATTCATACAGGTTAGGGGCTGGAGAGACGGTACAGCGGGCAGGGGCTTCCTTGCATGCAGCTGACCTGGGTTCGATCCCCAGCATCCCAGACAGTCCCCCAAGCCCCACCAGATTGATTCCTGAGTGTAGACCCAGGAGTAACCCTGAGAACTGCTGGGAGTGGCCCCCCAAACAGGATGACAACAAAAATTTATGCAGGTCAGGAGGGTGGAAGTCTGGCCCGTCTCCTACCACACTACATGGTGCCTGTCAGGTGAGAGCAATCTTGAGGCAATGGGGTTCCCAGCTCACCTCACAGAACCTAGGGGGCAGGAGTCCTGGGAGCCCAGTCTGACCCCCTCCTCCCAGGGGCAAGGACGGGGGGGATTCTCACCCCACTTTACGCAGATCTGGTGGCCAGTGGCAAAGTCACCGGAAATGGAAGCCAAAGCACTAACACAAGAGACAAATGCCCCAGAACCGCCGGGCATCTGGGACCTGGGTCCAGAACTCTGGACTCTGCACAGGCCAGGCCGTCTCTCACCCAGCCTCAGGGTGCCTGGCCCCGGCACTTCCCTCACAGGCACTCTAAGGCCGGACTTCAGTCAGAGAACACTTCCCACTTACATCTACAGTGGTACCAAATGGTGCCTGGCCAGTGAAGGCGTGCACCTGACTCTCGACTCTCACGCCAGGCATCAGTGGGAATCACCACTACCACCACTCCCTGCGTGTTGGGATTCTGGTTAACATTCCCTAAAACTTCCTGTGTGGGGCAGGAGTCTTGCAAAGGACCAAGGATGCAGAAAGAGGAAAGGAACTTGATTCTAAAGATCTCTAACGCTTCAACTACGCCATGAGAAAGAACCAAGAGGCTAGAGTGACAGTACAGAGGGTAGGGCGCTTGCCTCGCATGCGGTTGACCTGGGTTCGATCCCTGGCACCACATATGCTCCCCCGAGTCCCACCAGGAATGATCCCTGAGTGTAGAGCTAGGAATAACCCGAGTGTGGCCAGATGTGGCCCAACACTGCCGCCCCCCCGCCCCACACACACAAAAAGAAGAAACTTTTTAAAATGAATGGCCCAAACAAATCTTGAGACCACAGAGACTCCTGGGGTCCTGACGGGGCTCCAGGGAACACAGTCCAGTGAGACCCGCAGAACCAAGGTGTGGACAGGCACGGGCTCCTCACCACCCAGGACAGCCACAAACTTCTCCAACAAGAACAGGATCTGCTTGATGTACATCAGGTTCTTGGCCTTCAAACGCTTCCTGAGGGGAAAACACAATGCACAGCGGTGGTGACGCTCCCAGCCCGCTCCCAGACCTTCTGTCTGCTACCCTTCAGCCTGGGTCACAAGCTACATGCTCACCCGAGCGTCTTGGGCAGCCGTGTGCCCTGAGAATCCAGCCAATAAGGGGTGAGAGCTGGGAGGTGACCAGCATGTGGGCGCACGTTTGGCCAGGCCGAGATCAGAGACAGAACCCCAGTGCTTCCTCCCAGAGGCAAATCCAGCTGCTGAGGGAGGAGGGTTCTCCCCGCCCCGGGCAGAGTCTCACCGGTATCGGTCCAGATACTGCAGCAACTGCGAATGGGCCTGGCAGAGCTGCGGAGAGAGCAGATGAAGGTGTGAAGGCAGAGTCAGCTCAGGGGTGCCCATGACATCCAGATCACGCCAATGAAACACCAGGAAGCCAGAGGTGAGCTCAGGGCTTAGAACAGGGTTAGAGCAGGTGTTTCCATGCCCCTTGGGGGGAGTGACAGTCCGGGGCAGTGTCCACGGGAGGGCAGGCTAAAAGCAACAGATGGACTCTCAGGTGTCAATCTTCTGGCTAGTTCATGCCGGGCGCGATCTCCCAGAGTGGCTGTCACCTCGGGGGCCCCGGTCACTCGGGCACTGATCACCGGACGTAGTGAGGAAGCAGGAGCTGAGAGACAGGCAAGGGTCAGCAGCACCAGCCATCAAATGCTGCAGAGCTGCCCTGACCCTCTGCGCCCCGGCGTGAAGGACTCACACCCCACGAACAAGCAGCGGGAAGGTTGAGAAGCCGCATCCTAGTCTAGCACCTCTCAGAAATGCTGACCATTCCCCAGTGAAAGTCCTTCAAAGCACCAACAGTAGCAACATCCAAAGGATGCCAGCCCCCGAGCCCACATCCCAGGCGCCCGGGGCTGAGAGACTATGGACAGGCCAGTGAGAGCATTGCAGGAGCACAAGCGGCTTCCTGGGCTGGGTCCCCCACCGGGCCGACGGTCTGCCAGGAAGTGTCAGCATGAGCCGTCTCCAGAGGGATCCAGTGCCAGGCCCCAGAGAAACCACCGGGTCCCTGTGTGCCATCCTGCCGCCCACCCAGCCTTTGCTGACCCACCTGGCAACCGCTGACCTCGACGCTGTAGATGCTGCTGATGGTGTCGATGAGGTTGTGAGCCTCGTCGATGATCACCACCTGGCCCTGCAGCCGGATGCCTGCAGCCTGACGGGTGTGTGCGTGCAGCAGCATCTGGTAGGGCAGCACCACCAGCTGCAGGCAGAGGGCAGCACTGAGGGACGAGCCCCCTCCTCGGGCAGCCCGGCCCGGCCCACCCAGAATGACCACCCGGAGTCCCTGGAGAGACACTGTGGAGGGAGACAGCTGCAGCACAGGTTGGGCTGGAGACAGGACAAGGCCTTTGCCTTGCTCACGGCTGACCCAGCTTTGATCCCCGGCACTTTGATATGGCCCCTGAGCACCACCAGGAGTGATTCCCGAGCACCGAGCCAGGAGTAAGCCCTGAGCCCTCGTGGGTGTGACCAACACCAAAAGCCAAAATCAAACAACGTAAGCAAAAACAAAAACAGGACTAAAAGACGGCTCAAGTTTTGCATGCAGCTGACCCCAGTTCAATCTCCAGCAATGGACCCAGGAACACATCCGGCCCCCCTAGCCAGGAGGGATCACCAAGCACAGAGCTAGGATGAAGCCCTGACGACTACTACGCTGTGACTCAAAAACAAAATGAAGATCCTGCAAATTTGAGGAGCTCAAATTTGCTCTGGACCTGCACACAAGTGTCCAAGCCCAGCCTTGTGCTGTGGCAGCGGCCAGGAAGGGGCCCAGACAACCGAGGCTGCGAGGGAAGGTTTCTGATTTCTCGGGACGCACTGCCTCGCGAGCTCCACTCCAGATGGGCTTCTAACCGCCACAGGGAATCGCTATCAGGCGCCTGCGCCTTTGACAACTGACCCAGAGCTTGTCTTCTGGCCAGGCTCTCCCCACGGCAGTAAGGAAGCTGCATGAGGGGGCTGAAGAGACAGCACAGCAGGGAGGGCGTTGGCCTTGCAGTCAACCTGGGTCCGCTCCCCAGCCTCTCACCTGGTCCCCCAACCCTTCCAGGAGTGATTCCTGAGTGCAGAACCAGGAGTTATCCCCCAAGCACCACCAGGTATGGCCCAAAAAGGGGGAAAAAAAAAAAGCGGGTGAGGAGGGTGCTGCATGAGAATAGCTAGATCAGTTTTTTTTTTAATTAAAATTTTTTTTATTGGGGCTGGAGAGATAGCACAGCGGGTAGGGCGTTTGCCTTGCACGCGGCCAACCCAGGTTCGATTCCCGGCATCCCATATGGTCCCCTGTGCACCGCCAGGAGTAACTCCTGAGTGCAGAGCCAGGAGTAATCCCTGTGCATTGCCGGGTGTGACCCAAAAAGCAAAAAAATAAAACAATTTTTTTATTATTGAATCACTGTGAGATACAGTTACAAGCTTTCATGTTTGAGTTTCAATCATACAATGTTCAAACACCCATCCCTCCACCAGTGCACATTCCCCACCACCAATCTCCCCAGTATCCCCCCCTTTCCCTCCCTCCCCCTGCCTCCATGGCAGGCAATTTCCCCCATACTCTCTCTCTACTTTTGGGAATTATGGTTTGCAATATAGATACTGAGAGGTCATCACGTTTTGTCCTTTATCTACTTTGGCACACATCTCCCATCCCGAACGAATCCTCCAACCAACATTTTCTTAGTGATCCCTTCTCTACTCCAGCTGCCTTCTCCCCCAGCTCATGAGGCAGGCTTCCAACTATGGAGCAATCTTCCTGGCCCTTGTGCCTACTGTCCTTGGGTGTCCATCTCCACATTATGTCATTTTACACTCCACAAGTGAGTGCAGTCCTGCTATGTCTGTCTCTCTCTTTCTGACACATTTCACTGAGCATGATACTCTCCATGTCTGCCAGATCAGTTCTGACCCCCTAACCACACCACTGTGACTGATCCCAGCAGCAGTTTTCTTTCAAGACCAGCTTCAAGTCCAGACACAAGTGGCAGTTTCTGAAAAGCTTCTGGAAACTACCATGTTCCTGAGCCCCACCATCCACTGCCCCAAGCTTCTGCTCTGGCCACAGTCATGGAGCTGCACTAAAAAGACACTCCTGGGGCTGGAGCAACAGCAAAGCGGGTAGGGCATTTGCATTGCACGCAGCCAACCCGGGTTCAAATCCCAGCATCCCATATGGTCCCCTGAGCACCGCCAGGAGTAATTCCTAAGAAGCCAGGAGTAACCCCTGAACATCGCCGGGTGTGACCCAAAAAGCAAAATAAAATAAAATAAAAAAGACACTCCTTCCTGCCTCTTAACTACTGTTTCCCGATAACGCCAACTTCCTGCGGCCCACAGCACCAAGAGCCAGGGTCACTCTGACCCTCTGTACTAGGGGAGAGGAGGACATGTCACCAGTGGACAGGACATCAACCAGTCTGGCCCTGCCTGTGACATCCTGCCCACCCCAAATCCCAACGAGGCGCTCCACCGGCCAGAGCTCCTGCCCAGCACCCTGGGCTCACCTGGGCTGCGGGAATGGCAAACCGGCTCCCGTAATAGGGACAGGCGTGGGCCTCCTTCCCCAGAGTCACCAGCTGCTCGATGTCCCTCACCGCCACCAGGACCTCGTCCCGGAGAAGCTGCAGCTGCTCGTGGCCGTAGAAGGGGCACGAGGCCCGCTGCTCCCGCCGTCGCCGCTTTGGCTTCTCCTCCTCCGCTTGGCTCAGCTTCTCTGAGGGGGCGCAGGGGACAGGCTGAGAAGAGAAACTGTCTGCGGGGACGGGAGTTGGTTCTGCAATGGCCAGACCCTGGGTCAGGGGCCAGGTCTGGCCTGGGGTCCTAAAGGGCCGCCAGCTCTCTCAGGGTCTCTAGAGCGAGTCCCTCAATGGCCCCCCCGGCCCCCTGCCCCAGTCAGGGCTTCTGACCTAGACAGAAAAGCGCTTTTTCCCAACGAGAGCAGAGGAATGACTGGGATGACCTCAGCGCTGTCCTTTCCTCCGGTCCCTCAACCCCTCTCCGTGCCCTCTCCTCCCGACGGCCCTGCAAGGTGGTACCTTGTGGGCGTCTCTGCATCTCCAGGCAGCGGTCATTGATGAGCAGCACAGAGCCCAAGGTTCTCACGTCTTCATTGACACAAAGGTTCTGGCCCGGCAGAAGCAGCAGAGGTGGTGCTGGCTGAATGATCTATGGGATTTTCACTGGGGCTCCCTGCCCAGCCTCCCTGTCCCCACAAGGTCCAAAAAGGCTGACTCTCCCAGTGCCTGGCCTTCCAGGCACCCCTCACTTTCCTGTTCCCAGAAGAGGAATAGGGGGACCAGGGAGGAAGAGTGGAGAGGCCCTGTGCTGAGACAATCTGCCTCAGTTTACCTGCCGGGAGCCAAGGGAGACCACACGGGTGTCCTTGCCAAAGGGGCTCTTCTGAACCTCCTGCACAAACTGGGCCAGCTGCGAGTGGGTCCGACTGCAGTAATAAATCTGCTTGGAGGAGAAGGCACGGGCTCAGAGAGAGGAGACATCGGCCATAACTGCAAGAAGACCGGCCAGAAAGTGGAAAAGGGAAAACGGAAACCCAATGCCCCTCACCCCCCCGCCCTGGTCTCGGTGCCCTCCCGTACTCCCACACAGCCGCCCAGAGCCCGCGGACCAGGGATGGGAGGCCCATTCTGCAACCACACCCACCCACGTGACCCCAACTCTCACCTTCGTGACATGCTCTTCCTCCAGGAGATCCTCTTCCTCCTCGACTCTGAGGATGGAAAGAGCACAGTCCCTCGGCTACTCAGCTCACCACCCCCACCTAATGCTGTGACTAGTTTGGGCATGAGGAGGTGGTTTCCTCCTCAGAGGCCAACCACAGAGGTTTGAGTGTGGAGCCCCCAACGGAGACAGAAGACTCATCCCAGCAAGCAGGTTCCACCAACGCTGCGACCACTCCCCCCTTTGCTAAGAAAGGGGGTTCCAAAGCTTCAGTGGGTGTGACCCAGCTGCTCACTGGAAAACCACCCCCTTCACCAGTCACCTCCTGCCACACCACGGCTCTCAGATCCCCCAGAGAATGGAGTTCCTCCTTATCCCAGAGTCTTGGACACTCGCCTGTCCTTGCTTGAAAGGCTCTCCCTCCTCCCTCACCTCCCTCCAACTGACCTTGAGGCCTCACCACGAAATTCCCAACTGAACGTGTCATCCATATCCTTACTAGAGGCCCACAGAACCCCTTCATAGGTAGGTCCTACACATAGGAGCATCCCATGCCTTTTCCTTGATTTCCTTAAAATAATAATTCATTATTTTATTATAATTTATTGTGTCTGTGTGTGCATGTGTGCATGTGCGTGCGTGCGTGCGTGTGTGTGTGTGTGTGTGTGTGTGTATGTGTTTAGGCCATACTTGGGGGTTGGTGGTGCTCAGGGCTTACTCCTGGCTCTGTGCTCAGAAATCACTCCTGATTCCTGAGGGCTCAGGGAACCATACATGGTGCTGAGGACAGAACCCAGGTCAACTGTTGTAAGGCAAGTGACCAACTTGCTGTACTTCTCCAGCCCCTGAACAATTATTTTGGCAGGAGTAGTATAAGGGTGGTCACAGATCTGCCAATACAATGAAAATCATAGATCTCTTCTATCATTTAAAGTATCTGTTTATTGGGGTATGGTGTCGCCAGCAGGCCAATCTGTACCTGTGACGCGAGTGCATCAGCAGCCTGATGGCGCCTTCAGACTTCCAGATACCCCAAAATTGCTGCTGTGCCTTTGGCCAGATCCCAACAACTTGGGGCCAAGATTACCAAGAAAGTAAACGGCCAAAAGTCAGGTATGTGGGAGACACACCCACAAACCACCTCCGGCTCAGCTATATAATTGGAGGCATGGCCTCTCTGGTTCCTGATCGAACTGCTTGACCACCATGATCCCAGAGATTCAGAAACAAATCTCAGAACCCAGTGGCTTTTGGCAGAAATGCGTCCAGCCCCTGCAGTAGATTACCCAGGCGGGGAAAGGGTGCTTTCCTTCCCTTGCTCCCCCATCCTCTAGAGGCCACTGAACAGTCAGGTTTGGGCCCGCAGTGATGAGACACATGGAGCCTCATGGGATGGGGGTGGAGCCGGCCCTTTCCTCCCTGCCCCAACGAGACCCCCAAGTCGCTGCCCACAAAAGGCCTCTCTGGCTTGTGATCAAGCTGCTTAACAGCCATGATCCCAGAGACTCAGGAACAACTCTTGGAACCCAGCGGCTTTTGGCAGAAATCCCTCCAGATTTAATTGTTAAAATTTCGAAATTCCAGCATCATATATTATTTATAACAAGCAATAGAAAACAAATTGTCTACTGTTGCCTTTTCGGCAGATCTGAGTGTTGTGGTAAAATCCCAAATAATAATGGTGGGTCTGGTGTCAAAATATTGAATGTAATCAAAGTAGAGAGAGTAATGTGGAAATCATCTGCACTGCAGGAAGCGAAGGACTTTGTTTAGGGGCTACTCACAGCTCTCCAAGCATGAGGCACAGTAGGTATGATCCTCCAAACTGGAAAAATACTATGGTACTGCCATAGAAAGAGACTAAGCAGGAAACAGGTTACTAAGTACGCCCAGGCCTATCGGGCATTTAACTGAAGGAGCCAGTGATACCGACAGGGAAGGCTGATTGATCCCTTCAGTAAATGGGCCAGGCAAACTATTCAGCCACGTGCAAAAGAACGAAACTGACGATTCTTGTACCATAGCCCCCCGCCCCCATAAACTCTCAAGGGATTAGAGGTTAATCTTGCTCACTCACATTCTGCATTTACACTGACGTGAACTCTCTGAGGAAAATGTCCCATCTCTCATTTGGCTCTACAGCCCTGGTGTGAGGACAGTGCTGCCTGGAGCAGACACGCCAAGGGGACTTAGGAAACGAAAGCACAAGGACAGAGGACCTTGACATCCGAGTTCAGTCCTCAGTAGCTTCTAGTCCAACCAGGAGGTTAAGAAGTCATCAGTTGTGGCTGTGGTGATGGAATGTTCTATGAATGAAACCCTGCTATTATCAATATTGTAAATCACGGTGCCTCAAATAAAAATGTTTAAAAACTTAAAAAGAAACTGATACATCCAGTTCAACAGATGCCTTACGGTGAGAGAAAAATGTAGGCGAAGGGGCTGCCTGATGGCTGGTGCCCTGAACCAACCACGGTGGACCCAGAGTATCCGTAGCTGAGAGCAGCACTTCTCACTGGGGGACATATCCAAGGGATTCACCACAGATGGCGGCACAAAACGAGGGGGAACCAGCAGGCCAGCGAGGGGTTATAGAAAAGAAACCACACCAGAAGGGGCCACAGGAAGAAAAGATGGGAGCCCAAAGGTGGAGGACGAAGGCCGGCCCCAACTCTTCCAACATCTTGCCTTGTACCCTTGACCTGACAAAGCACTTCCCTGGGCCTCAATTTCCACACGGGAAGGGACACACGGACGCTGTTGCGAGGGGTACCAGAGGAAACATAGGAACACAGCCTGGTCGAGGGGAGGGCTGGCCAGAGGAGGGCAGGGGGAGCAGAGAAGCTGCCTGACTCTGGCCTGAGTGCGGAGGCCGGCAGGAGCAGTGCTTACCCCCCGAGAGCTCTTCCTCTTGTTCCTCTCTCCTCATCACTCTCGTACTCAGCAAGGACCAGCTCCTCCTCCCCAGCAGCCAGCTGCTCCTGCTCGGCCCCTGCACCCGCGGCCAGCAGCTCCCTGCTGAGTTGGAGGAGACGCTCCGTTTCTTCCTCTTCTTGCCTCTGCGCAGGGCGGTGGTGGGAGAGAGAAAGGAGTCTTGGTCCCGGTGCCCGCTCCTGGGCCGTTCGTCCCATGGGGCGGTTACCAGAGCAGCTGCACACACACAGCAGCCTCGGCCTCCCGGGGTCTCCCCATACGGGCCCCTGCGTGGGCAGCCCCCGGCCGCCCCTCTGAGGCCCTCACCGCACGCCTGGCTGCATGCTGGAACTGAGCACTGTGACGGAGCAGCTGCAGGCGCTCTTCTCGCTTCTTCCTCCGGACCTGCTCCTCCTGTGGGGGAAGCCGTCAGAGGAAGGCCCTGCTGGAACCGCCCAACTGAGCCTCCCTGCTAACCCAGTGCCTGCCCATGTGGGAGCCATCGCACTCATCCCCAGAGACGGTCCCCAACAGGCCACCCAGCAAGTCTGCCTCCACTAGCCTCGTGCGCCCTGAAGGGCCTGGAGCAACAGCACCAAGCTGGCACCCACCACTCCTGCCTCGAATGCATCAGCACAGCTAATAAGCCAACAATAACAACTGAATGCGGTGGGAAGCCCGCTCTCGCAGTGAGAGTGCACTGCCGAGTCGTGCTGCACTGACCACCCACTGGATGCCCTCCCAGGCAGAGGAAAAGGAAATGGCCAACCAAATGGACCAATGCAGAATGTCTGCTGACATCGGCTTACAAGGCAGCAAGAGGCACAGCACCCAGCACTCAGAGAGCTGCCAGGAGAGTCCAGGGCTCCAGAGAGCAAAGCAACGCAAGAGCTGCCTCGGGTCAGCCCCAGGGCCCAGCCCGGTCCCCTTCCTACTCACCCCTCCACTGCGCGCTACCCAGGCCCTCACCTTGAGCCGGTCTACCAGATCCCTTTCCTCTTTCTTCTGCACAAACTGAGTGACCCAGTCGGGCTCTCCAGCTGGCCTTGGCAGGCTGGGGCTGTCTTGGCAGGAGACAGGTGGGGGCGGGTCCTTCCCGCCACGAAGGAGGTCGGTTCCCATCTGAAGGACACGGGACTCCTCCAGACTCTTCTTCTGCTCAAAGTCTCGGAGCCATGAGAGGGCCCCACAGATAAGACTTAAAGATTTTCCCTATGGGAGGAAACACTGTTAGAATTATAGAACAAAACAACCTTCCCACGTGTTCCAGTGAGGAAGCCAGTCAATGGAGCCTTAAGAAACCTGGGCATAAGGGATCCCATGCCGGGCTGTTTCACTTGGGGCGCTCCAGAGGGGGGCGGATGAGAGCCCTCCCTGCCCCAAGGGACCCAGACCCAGCAGCCAAAAAACTCCATTACCCAACCGCCGCCAAGCTCAAGGTTGCTCCCCACACGCTCGGGCCAAGCCTCACGCATGAGTGAACCTATTCCTGGACCCGTGTGGCTGCATTTTGTAGGACACATCATAAGACACTCCCTACCCATTCTCCAAGCGTACCACACATCTGATGGTGTTCAATAGTAGGCAACCAATCATAGAGGGAAATATATATATGTATATATATATATATACGAAAGTTCACATCACTCAACCTTTAACAACATGTTTGTGATATCCTAAAGAAGGTCTTAATGGCCCCTGCCAAAATAGAACAATCGTCACACTATTCCCTCTATGGATACTTTTTTGTAGCATTTTCAGTAGTTTTTCATAACAGACAATACAAAGTATATTATTTTGGTTGTGTTTTGGGACAGAGCTTGGGGCTTAGGATGGAAACATCCCAAAGATGGTGGTGGGAAAGTATAATGGTGGTGGGATTGGTGTCTGAATATTAAATGTAATCAAATATTGTGAACTCTTATAAAATAAATTAAAAAAAAAAAGAAAGAAAGACATCTGGGCATGGGGAGAGAGCGCAACACAGGAATCTGCATGAGGGAGACACCCAGGTCGGTCACCGACACACAGACTGCTCCTGGCACGGTCAGGGGTGACCCCCAGGCCCGATCTCTGATCTCTGAGTCCCTGTTAGCACTGACAGTTCAGCCAAAAACAAAAAAAAAAAAAAAAAGAGAAAACTCCAATTACCTACATACACTAAGACTACTCTGGGAAAAGAAGGAAACTAATAAGAGAACAGTCATGAGAAAACAGGAAAGAGAAATACAATATTCCCACACCTCCCCACAATGTCCACCCCAGCCTCCCCCTACAGCTGACATTTCCCTCTCTCCCCTCCTCCCTCTCCCTCTCTTTTTGGGGCATGAGGGTTTGCAGTACAGGTACTGGAAGGCGATCATGTCTATCCCTTTACCTTCTTTCAGCACTCAGTTCTTGTCCCAAGTGATCATTTCTAACTCACACTGTCACAGAGGTCCTTTCTCTGTCCTAAGTGCACTCTCCCCACCCCTACAATTTGTGGCAAGCTTTGACTGAAATCCATTCATGGATTTGTAACTGTGTATTTCACAGTGGTTCAATTAAAAAAAAGAAGAAACAACAGGACAAAGAGTGGCAAAGCCAGCCCAGCATCAGTGGGACAGTCTAGAAAGCATAAAAACACAGTCCTGATGCAAGCTGTCATGACTTAAGAGATAGGACCCTCATGGGGAAGGCCAAGCTGAAATGGCTGAGGATCTAGTCTGGGATTTACGGTAAAGTGTTGTTGACCCTCTCGACCTCTGTAAATGATCAATCCCACCTCTATGCAGTCCTATACCTCGAGTCCCCTCAGACGTTCTATATGTATGCTAACAGCTCTGCATTGAACAGGCCATTCTGACCATCAGTCTGTGGTCCCATCTCTGTTCCTGGGGAGGCCAGGAAAGGAAAGGACAGCACATCGAAGTTTAGGATCTTTTACTTTTTTTGTTTTTCTGTTTTGGGGCCACACTTGCCTGTGCTCTCAGTCACTGCTGGAGGACTGGGGAAACTAAATGGGATGCTGGAGAGAGAACCTGGGTTGGCTGTGCGCCGAGATAAGTGCCCTACCCACTGTTCTATCACTCCGGCCACCCAGTTTAGGGTGTTTTAGATGTGCACGACAACAGGGGCAAAAATAGGACAAGAAATTGTCATGATTTTTTCCCATACTTTAGGGCTGCCTGTTGATCGGCTGTGTGAAATATCCCGGCCTCAACTCTTAATGTACCTGTGAAATTCCGAAATGCTTCCTAACTGTCCTTAATGTCCCTGTCAATGGCTCAGGTGCTGGGAACCAGGCTGGGGCAGCGATGATGTACTGAATAAGTGGCTGGCCTGTGTGCTCACTCAAGGCTGCCCAGGGGACCCTAAAACTCGGAAGTTTCGTGTGTTTGTCTGTCTCGTTCTCTAAGGCCCACCCGTGTCGGACAGAGTGCTGGGGGCCAAAATGTCAGTGCAGCCTGACCTGCAATTTAGGAACTAATCTCTTCTTGGAAAAATGTTAAAATACATTGTGTAAGTTTCTGAACTATACCCGGGGTAAGTGCCATGAGCCCACTGTTAGGGATCACACTATGATTTATTGAAAATCTGCATGTTTTGTTAATTCCCCATTTTGCCCACTTCCTCATGTAATCAATTATAAAAAGCTAACTTGGGAGAAATAAATTTGGAGCTGGATCAGAGTCTTATTTTGCTCCCATTCTTCTGTCTCTCTTTTTTCCCACTCACACACCCTCTCCCTGTTATGCATGTTGACTAGTCCCACAGGTCAGGGCAACAGAGGTCAAAGTTGCCAAATCGATTTGCTTTATTATGCTAAATTCCACTGTGCCTGCAGAGACGTCTCTCAGAAATGCCCAGCAACAGTTTAATTTCAAGATGTTATGCAGGTTTCCTTCAACAGTTCTTTTTTTTTTTTTTTTTGCTTTTTGGGTCACACTCAGTGATGCACAGGGTTTACTCCTGGTTCTGCACTCAGGAATTACCCTTAGCAGTGCTTAGGGGACCATATGGGATGCTGGGAATCGATCTCAGGTCGGCCACGTGCAAGGCAAACGCCCTACCCGCTGTGCTATTGCTCCAGCCTCCCTCCTTCAACAGTTCTAAGAATTAAAAGTACCTGTTCAGGGGCCAGAGAGAGCGTAGAAGGGTGGAAGCACTTGCTGTGCATGGAGGCCTACGGTACTCAGTCCCCAGCACCAGTTGGTTCCCCAACACCATCAAAAACAACCCCGTACTCTGAGCCAAGAGTAGACCCTGAGCACCACCGGGTACATCCCCAAAACAAAAACAAAACACAATAGAAGATGACTTGGCAATAAGAAAAGATGAATTTCTGCGGGCTGGTGCGACAGCACAGCGGGTAGGGCATTTGCCTTGCATGCGACCGATCCGGGTTCAATTCCTCCGTCCCTCTCGGAGAGCCCGGCAAGCTACTGAGAATATCCCGCCCTCTTGGCAGAGCCTGGCAAGCTCCCCGTGGCCCATGGCGTATTCAATATGGCAAAAACAGTAACAACAAGTGTCACAGTGGAGACGTTACTGTGCCCGCTTGAGCAAATCGATGAACAACAGGAGGACAGTGCTATCGTGCTACAGTGCTGCTCCCTCTCTGCAACTGGAGGGCGTCATGCTCAGTGGAGTAAGGCGATGGGCGGACAAACACCAAGTGAGCGTTCTCATACATGGAGTATAAGGAAAGAGAGGGAAGGGAAGAGACAAAGGCCCAGAAGAGACCCTGCGAGTCGGCCTGGAGAGCCGAGTCTGCTTCGTGGGGGCAGGGGCGCTGAGAAGGGACGCAACCCTGCACTCCTGAAACATGAACATTAGCAGCACTGTAATGATTTAATTACAGTACCTATGTAAATCATTTAAATAAAATGAAAAATATAATGATGCATGGTGACAAATGGTAATCAGAGTTAATGTAATCCTTTTGCAGTATATGCAAATATATCATTACACTATGATGAAACTAATATTGTTAAGCTTCAATTTTAGCTCAATCAAAATAACAAAAGGACCAAAAATAGAGATAGGGGGTTTAGGGAATATTCAAAGGGCTGGACCAACCCAGAACACTGAGTAGCCCCCGAATACCACCAGGTCTGACTGAAACAAAACCAAAGAAGCCCACTCAAGAAATCAAATCAGATAAACCTATCTTTAAAATGAACTTCATTATTCTTGGATTATGTTTTTTTGGTTTGTTTGTTTTACTGGGGGGGGGGGTGCAAGGGGGTACTGACATCTGGCTGTGCTCGGGGCTTACTCTTGGCTCTACACTGAGGGATCACTATTGGCGATGCTCAGGGGACCATATGGTGTGCTGGGGATCGAACCCAGGTTGGCCACATGCTAGGCAAGTGCCCTCCTCTCTCTGGCCCCAGGATTATTATTTATTTTTATTTTTTATTTATTTTTTTGCTTTTTGGGTCACACCCGGCGATGCAAAGAGGTTACTCCTGGCTCTGCGCTCAGGATTTACCCCTGGCAGTGCTCAGGGGACCATATGGGATGCTGGGAATTGAACACGGGTTGGCCATGTGCAAGGCAAAAGCCCTACCCGCTGTGCTATTGCTCCAGCCCCTATTTTTTAAATGTTATTTAAAAACATTTAATAAATGTCTTTATTAAATGAGGAAGCCTTAGTTTTCCCCTTGCCAGGGAGAGACAAAGCCACAGTTTCTTCTCTCCAGATGTTCCATCTCTCCCCCATCGACCTGACACACGTTCCACCCCCAAGGCTCTATCTCAGCGTTCCCAGGCCTTCCCACGAACATCCAACTCTGCCCCGGAGTCTAGGCTGACGGGGAAACTGAGATAATTGCCAACGAAGCCTGGAAGATGTGTTTCCCTTCACCAGTGAAGAAGGAAGCCACCTTCCTCAACGCAGCTTTCCCTTGCCACCTGTCCCCCTGACACACACACTCAAAGGCCTGCCCGGCTGTCAGAGAGATTTTCAGGACCATAAAACTTATCCTGGAGCCTAGGCCGACAGGGAGACTAAGATACGGGGCAAAAATGCCCAGAAAGATTTAGAACAGGTCGACACCACTGTAATTTTTTCTGGCACCTTTTGCAAACACTTGCCAACCAATCAGGGATGCCAGGAGCCCTTAAAAGAGCCTTCACAAAACTCCTTCCTTTAACTTAGTCCTATACTAAGTTCCTCCCCACTTGGGGAGCTGCTTTTCCTTTTTACTTTCCAATAAACTTTTCTACTTTCCAACTGAGTCTGAGATCTCTTCTTCATTCAAAGTTAGGTACAAAAAAAATGGGACTGGGATCCCTGACTGGACCCCTCAATCACTCAGTCACCTAGTCTCTGGGAAAGACAAAGGAATGTCTGTGTTTTCAATATCAAAGCCATGTGTGTGCCCAGAGAAATCTGCTGTTTCTGTGCTATGGACCATGGTTTTCTGGTTCATGCAAATTCCCATTTCTCAGACTCTGGGGTAGAGGTGAGCAATAAAATAGAGGACTCACAGAGTTAAAAGTGATGGAACTACTGGGCCAAGCTTCTAAACCATGAAAAATACTTCTCTGCACAGGGACACAGACACAAACACACACAAGCACACAGACAGACAGACAGACAGACAGACACACACACACACACACAGCTGACTCTGAACCGTCCTTACCAGGGGCTCTAGGACCCTGAGGCCCACCTATTCACATTTACAGTGCTTGTAGGACTTTCAAAGATTGCAATCTTGCCCCCCCCCCCCCCCCCCACACACACACAGAGCTAACTCTGAACCGTCCTCACCAGGGGCTCTAGGACCCTGAGGCCCGCCTATTCACACTTACAGTGCTAGTAGGACTCTCAAAGATTCCAACACACACACACACACACATACACACATGCGCGCGCACACACACATACACACACACACAGCTGACTCTGAACCATCCTTACCAGGGGCTCTAGGACCCTGAGGGCCACCTACTCACACTTACAGTGCTAGTAGGACTCTCAAAGATTCCAACACACACACACACACACACACATGCACGCACGCACACACACACACACAGCTGACTCTGAACCGTCCTCACCAGGGGCTCTAGGACCCTGAGGCCCACCTCCTCACACTTACAGTGCCAGTAGGACTCTCAAAGATTCCAATCTTGCCCGCCTCCAGCACGTGGTACAGCTCTGTCATGAAGTCTCTCTGGATGGAATAGGGAGTGAAGGGGAATGGGAAATGGATGCCACCAGCGTCCTTGTCTTCACTGGCCATGGCCCTGAGGGAAAAAAACAAATGAACTGTCCTCAAGTGAGCCCGGAACTTCTGACCTGAACTATTTCCCAAGTGCAAGTTCAAAACCAGTGATGCTTTGTGGGGCTGGAGCAATAGGATAATGTGTAAAGCATCTGCCTTGCTCACGGCCAACCCGGGTTTGATCCCCTGCAAGCAAATCCCTCTAAAAGAGCAGCCATTCTCCGCAGGCCAGGCCAATCCAGTAGTTAGGAGGCCTTACCTTTTAGTTTGAACATCCCATATCGCAGAAAATTTAGTTCTAGATCTAAATCCCAGGAGAATAATCTGGTCAATCTCTTCTCATATAACACTGAATGGCTACAAGGCCGGGGCGATACACAGTGGGTCAGGCACTTGCTCTGCATGTGGCCAACCTGGACTGATCACATATGTGATCCGAGTGCAGAGCCAGGAGTAAGCCCTGAGCACTGTTGTGTCATGCCCCCAAATAAAAATCACAGAAGACTGAATGACTACAGACAGTGGGGGAGGCCCTCACCTGCTCACCTTGGACCTTGCTTCCTCCTCCTCCAGCCCAATCCTGAGCCCCAACGTTCGTGAGTCCTGGAGATTCCCAACCAGGTCGCCTCAGATATGCCTCTGCCTGCACAGCCACCTGTCATGTCAGAGATAGCCCTACCCGCACACACAGAGACCAACACGATCCTGCAACAAGTCACTCTTTTTTTTGGGGGGGGGGGGCTTTTTGAGTCACACCCGGCGATGCTCAGGGGTTACTCCTGGCTCATGCACTCAGGAATTACTCCTGGTGGTGCTCGGGGGACCATATGGGATACTGGGAATCGAACCTGGGTTGGCCATGTTGGCTGCGTGCAAGGCAAACGCCCTACCCGCTGTGCTATCGCTCCAGCCCCCAACAAGTCACTCTTTTGACCATTAACCTCGTATTTCCTTTCGGCATACTCTTAGTAGTGATTCTTGTATTTACTCTTCTTCCCTAAGAGAATATAAACTTCATTAAAAAAGCAGAATTCTAGTCTATCTTACTCTCCGCCTCTAGCACACAAAATCAATACCTTTGCGGTTTTCCAATCAAAGTTTGAAATGGATGTCAGAGAAATGAATTTGATGTGGGACTGTGGATGAGCTTTTGGTTCTGCGGAGTTGTGGGCAAAAGAGGTCCCACGGTCATATAAAAACATCATAATATGAGACTAAGACCCAAGGGCAGTAGAGACAGGGCCAGGAAGATTGCTCCATGGTTGGAAATCTGCCTCACGAGATAAAAGGACCAAACATGACATCCTCTCATTATCTGTATTGCAAATCATACAACCCATAAGTAGAGAGAGAGAGTAAGAGGGAAAGTGATTCCCATAGAGGCAGGGGGAGGGGTGGGATGGGGGAAGGGAAGGATACTGGATACTGGGGACACTGACGGTGGAAAATATACACTGGTGGAGGGATGGGTGCTCGATCATTATATGACTGAAACTCAAACATGAAAGTTTTGTAACTATAGCTCACAATAATTAAAAAAATAAATTAAAAAAAAGAGGTCCCACAGTATCAGTATGTGAACAAATGGCCACTTCATTAACAGTTTCGAAGTATGCTCCTCTGATTCTCAATGACCCTGTCACTGTCCCTGTCCTCCCATTGTTCAACGATTTGCTCGAGTGGGCCCAGTAACATCTCCATTGTGAGACTTGTTACTGTGTTTGGCATATCGAATACATCACGGGTAGTTTGCCAGGCTTTGCCGTGTGGGTCAGATACTCTCTGGGAGGGGCGAAGGAATTGAACTCGGGTCAGCCATGTCGGCCACGTGCAAGAAAAACGCCCTACCCGCTGTGCTATCGCTCCAGCCCCCTCAATGACTGTATTTAGTCAGTATTTTTTGTTTTTGATCCACACCTGACAGTGCTTAGGACTTACTCCTGGCGGATCACTCCTGGTGAGCGCTGGGGGACCCTATGTGGTGCTGGGACTGAACCCAGGTCAGCCCTATCTGCTGGACTGATAATCGCTCTGGCCCCAGCCAGTATTTTTATTCATTTTTTTTGCAGATGAAGAAATTGAGAAGCAGCAAGGTTAAGAGACTTGCCTGTGACCATTCACTTGGCAAACCCAAGATTTGTACACACATCGGTCAGATCTCAAAGTCCGTAGCGTTGTCCATAAACTTTAATTTTCATCATTGATTCCCATCACGTTAAATAGGATGGAAAAATGGACTTGGTCCCCAAACTTCAGAATGACAACACAAACTATATGGAACAAGAGCAGTCACTACTTCCCTTCCCTGGGAATAACAAATGTTGATCTCATTATTTTAGTAGCTTATGAGTTAAATCCTAAATTAAGGAGTTTTTGATAAATGCAGGAATGATTCACCAAACACCAGTAAAGAATTCTGGTGGGACTTTTCCTAAGACCAACATGTTAGTTCCTCAATGACTACCATGAGTTCCCACACAAGTTCCCCTTGAATTCTCTACCAGCACTGAGGGTTAACCAGCAAAGCCAATCTTAATGCTCATTCACTGAGGTGTGCCTCTGTCACTGTCACTGTCCTCACTGTCCTCCCATTATTCAACGATTTTCTCGAGCGGGCACCAGTAACATCGCCATTGTGAGACTTGTTACTTTTTTTTTTTTTTGTCCTATCGAATATGACACAGGGAGCTTGTCAGGCTTTGCAGTGTGGCCGAGATACTCTTGGTAGCTTGCTGGGCTCTCCGAGAGGGGCGGAGAAATCGAACCCAGGTCAGCCACATGCAAGATGAACGCCTAACCTGCTATGCTATCGCTCTGGCCCGAGGTGTGCCTCTAATGGAGATATTAGTTCTGAAGTGTTCACTTTTAAAAAAAAATTTTTTATTAGTGAATCACCGTGGTGTACAGTTACAGAGTTACAAACTTTCTTGCTTGCGTTTCAGTCATGCAATGATCGAGTACCCATCCCTCCACCAGTACCCATTTTCCACCACCAATGGTTCCAGCATCCCTCCCACCACCCCCGCCCCGTCCCCTCCACCCCACCCCTCCTCTGCGGCTGGGCATTCCCTTATGTTCTCTCTCTCCTTTTGGGCATTGTGGTTTGCAGTAAAGGGATTAAGTGGCCATCATGTTCGGTCTATAGTCTACTTTCAGTCTGCATCTCCTATCCCGAACGGGCCCTCCTAGCACCCTTTACTTGGTGGTCCCTTCTCTATCTGAGCTGCCTTTTCCCCCAGCACGTGAGGCCAGCTTCTAAGCTGTGGAGTACTTATCTCTGCTGTTCTTGGGTGTTAGTCTCCCATTCTGTTAAGAAGTGTTCACTTTCTTCAGTCCCCAGTGATCACACAGATATAAACTCTTCAGCTTGCCCCCAACTACAAATCCATTTTCTAATTCTCAGTGTTGAGTCTCTTCAGGGACAGATCTCTTAGGAGGTGATGAAGGTTAAGTGGAGATTCCAGGAGTGAAGTTCAAATCGTCTAAGAACTGGTGGCCTGTTCTGAGGAGGGAGAAAGAGGGGGCCTTTTCCCCAAGCAAATGGGACATAGAGGAGTTTGCAAGTCACAAAGTGGGCCCCCTCAAGTAATCAGGCAGGCTGGCACTTTGATTGTACCCTTCCCAGTCTCTACAACAGTAAGAAAATTCAGGTGTGTTCATTCAGTCACCCAGGCTATGCCGTACTGTTGGGCAACTCAGGGAGGTGCACAGCATCGCATCCTCCTGTCATGCTCCTAAAATGCTCTCGCCTACAAACCAGAGAGGCCACGCAGCCCAAGAGGAGAACAATGTTTCTGAAACTCCTGGGAATCCAGAGATACAGACTTGTTGCCAGACCTGAGGTGACACCTGAGGCTGAGCCCTCCCGAGTTTTCACCTTCTCTGGCTTGTTTCCCTCCCAGCTCCATCCTCAGAACTCTCCGGCTGTAGGAAAAGGTGCTACTTATTAGCTTTGACTTCCCCCAACAACCTGATCACTTCCAAAGGTCCCAGTCCCTTTGTTTTTGTTTGTTTTGGGGGGGTTCACACCCGGCGATGCACAGGGGTTACTCCTGGTTTTGCACTCAGGAATTACTCCTGGCGGTGCCCAAGGGGATCATCTGGGATGCTGGGAATCGAACCCGGGTCAGCCGCGTGCAAGGCAAACGCCCTACCCTCTGTGCTATGGCTCCAGCCCCATCCCAGTCCTTTTGGCTGAACCCTGTGTCATCTCGATTTCCAGAGAGGCAGGAAGGCAGAATAGAGTTAGGTATCACCACCCTATGTAATGTATCTTTACATTGCCAATCTGGGATTCCAGCTAAAGTAATGTCCCCGAGCGTGTTTCCCATGTGTAAAGTAGCAACAGCAAGAGCGGTATAATCTTTAAGTGGCACACTTAGTAACCACATACCACATAATAGAAATAGAAATTCAGAAAAGTCAGAGGCTCAGTCCACGCCTTGCATGAGCGGCCCAGCGCCTCCTCTGAGCACCTCCGGGTGTGACACCAAAAATAAAGAAAAAAATAAATGTCATGAAAACCTTAGCTGAGGCCGTCAAATTGCAGTCCCTATAGCATTAATGATGAGAGGGCGGGCTTGGGCCACACCCAGCGGGGCTCAGAGGTTACGCGTCAAGGACCGCTCCTGGCGGTGCACGAGAGACCGAATATCGGGCTGCCAGGTGCAAGTGCAAGGCAAGAACCCTAGCCACTGTACTACCCGCCGAGGCCTGCATTCATGAATATTTAGCATCCCCGCCTCCCACTATAGATCCCGCCCTCGTCGCTCTCGCTGACCCGACATTGGCTCCCAGCCTGCCAATCACACACTGACCCCGCCCCTTCAGAGCGCTTTCCCGCCGGTGCCGGGGCCAGTTTGCACACAAGACCTTTCTCGGAGTTTCCACCCAGCCAAGCTGCCCTTTTTCACTTGACTTCATCCTCCTCACTGTCTCGCTACTCACTCGCTGCCGTCAGAAGTCAACCTCGTGGAATTTGAACTGGCCGCTCTGGCTGCAAGCCGGCCCGGGAGCGG